GACATATTGGATGGCGTGCTCAACTGGGAGCACCGTGCATCGCATGCCCGCATGACGGCTGAGGCGGACAGCATTCCGTTGAGTGTGTTCACTCCTACGCGGCTGGATGCTTTGTTTTCGTCCGATCCGCCCACACGTCGTCAGGTTTGTGTGCACGTCGCGTCATGACATTATACTTAACATAGCTCATTATTTTGTTCCATAATATGAGGTCATATTGAATTCAGATGTGTTCTCTTATTTCTTATTTTGTTTTATCACGCATTTGTATGTTTATCATCATCGTTCATATTCATACAGTAATAACGTATTGTGTACATTGTTTTGGTATTTATTACTTACAGGTTTCATCCTTCATTGTGGAGCTGACGGTCTCCAAGATGGAGCCTGGTTTCTTGCTGCGCGCTCTGTGTTCGGTTCGTGATGAGAGCGGACGCTTCGGTTTGACGGCGTTGGGCTCATCTGCGGACAAAATTCGCATGTTTGTGACAGAGCAGCAAAAGGTGACCAGGACTTCGTTCACATCGACTCCAGTGGTCTTGTGGATCACTGAGCTCTACGTCGAGCATCCCCAGATTTACACAACCAAGAGGTATAGTACAAGCGGTCTTACCATGTGCTTATTGATTAATCAAGTGTTTGGACTTGAATATGGATGTTGTTGATACACGTTAACGTACATGATGTATATAGTCCCAACTATCTTTCAAATATGTATATTGTACTTTTTCCTACCAGGTCCAGGATTATCAAGGTCACTGATGATGCTGTTGTTGCTCGCGTCACGCGGAGTCTGGCTCCTGTTCTCACAGCACCAACCGACGTCGGCAGTGTCATTTCATATGTATTGCAAGTTATAAATTACTATCAAGTTTGCGTTGCATCTTAGTCAACTGTAAAGATAATGTCATGTCTGATCAACAGATGCAGTATAAATATCGTTAATATGTACGTTTGTTCACTTTCTTTTTCCCCACTCCCTTACAGTTTGGGAGCCGTGGAGGAGAATGTGATCTCTTTGGGCCAAGAGATCACATGTGCACTCCGCGTGGAGATACGCAGCACCGACGTCACTACAGAGTGGGTCTGTTCATTCAGGCCGTCGGGAGAAGGTGCCCTCCCTTGCGGTTTTCCCGTCGGATGGTGTTTCACCAACGACAGGTACCTCTGCGACTTGGAGCATGTGACACAGGATGCGGACGCGCGAGATACAGTTGTTGCGGTTTTCGACACGACGACAGGTACTAGTGTTTTTTCTTTGTTACTATCGATTTTGTTGTAAATGTTGTTTTTAGTACTGCATGTATCACCATTCATTGTCTTGTGATAATGTAACATCTCATGCTCGATAAGCAATTGCCTTTGATGCTCTTTGTTTTCAGAAGCTATGATGTTATCACACTTAATTGATTTTCCATTTTCCATTTTCTATCAAAGTTGGAAAGCTCGCCCGCACAGGTGTGAGTGCTACAATGAGCTTGAGTGCGCTCAAGAGCGGACTGGAAGGTTTCAGCATTGCGACATGGGTTGCAGCTGATTCTGATGGCAAGCAGGAGATCTTAACGAAGCTCCTCCACAGGCGGCGTCAAATCAAGGTACGTCATGCAATGAAACATAGACATTGTGGTAGTTAATATTTTCTACTATAGTCAACATTGTAATAGGATAAAATGTTATCAAGTTCATCGTTGGTTAAAACGTCATATCGCACAACTTTTGTCATTTGTCCCTTTGATTTCAACACAGATGGTCGTGAAGGCAGCTGGAAATCGTTTTGACAGGACGATCTCTGCATTCATCATGGTAAGTGCATAATCCATTATTGCTTGAGATATAACGGCATACATTATCTTCCTTTCTTACGAATGCAAAGAAAAAATCGATGTTAATTTGCGCATGTTTTTTTTTTTGATGATATTCATAGGAGGAGCATGTTGAAGCTGTGAACGACAACAACAAACGTGAAGCGCCGAATGGTCCACCCGCCATTCCATCGACACCCGTGAAACTCGCCCAACGTCGTGGCGACCAGGTTAGATACAGAGCGTCATTTTTAACATAAATCCTCATATTCAATATTGATAGGTGGTTCTGGATTAGTGTACGATATAGTGCTGATTGTAACGTGGGTTTGTTAAGCTTATTGATCCAATTATCAACTCGTGAAACTTTCTACGCGAAGTAATTTCCTTTTTTTTTTTTTTTTTTTTTGTTCCCCGTACTATTGGTTTCTTGTTATGCTGCGCAGGGTCAGTGAGGCACAACGTCTTCATTTCCCTTGCATCGATTGGAGAAGAAAAGCAAGGATGATACAAGCGAGATGGGGAATTGTGTGGAAGGAAAAGGAGAAGGAAGGAGAGGGAATGATTGAGGCCGTGCAAAAGCAGTTTTACATAAACTCAAACGATTTTTAGTTAACTATCAACTGTGTGTCTATGCGTGCCTTACATATGCTTGTGAGTTTGCGTGTATGCGTATGCGTGTGTGTTTGCGCGAGCTTATACGTCTATATACCTATCGTGTTGTGGGTGGGTTGCGTCTGTTTCAGGCTTGTGTTAACTTGCCTCATGTATGCAGCAGAGGTTGTCATCGTCGTTAGGGCAGCGTGTTTTCGCTGTTTTAACGACCCCATCAACCTTCGCTGCAGCAATGATGCATTTTAGCATTAGCTTTGAAGCATTCACAATCATTACGTGCTATCCTCGTTCTACGTGTTCTGTTTCACTAATGTTAACGTGTCGTGTTGTTTGTGTTTCGAGGCGTGGTGTTAATATGAATCGTGTATGCAATTTGGGGTTGTCATCGCCGTTGGGGCAGCGTATCTTCGCTGATTGACTTTGATGCGTTCTCAATCTTTACGTGATGTTGTGCATTGTTCTGTGTGCATTTCGTGGTTGTGGTGTGTGTGTTTCAAGGCGTGGTGTTACAATGCATCGTGTATGCAATTAGGGGTTGTCATCGTCGTTGGGGCAGCGTGTCTTCGCTGTTTCAACGACCCCATCAATCTCTGTTGCTGCATTGATACATTTTAACATTCACCTTGAAGCATTCACACTACGCTTCATACCGTACATTGTTCATTAACACAGTTGTGTTTATTCATGTTGATGCCATGTTCGATCGTACCATCCGCCGTATTAATCGACGAGCTGGGACGGTCGGAACAAAATCATGGCTTTAACATGTGTATTTGGTTTCACATTTAGGATATCTTAATCAAGGGTGATGTATCCACTATTTGAGGCATTCTATTGAACACGGTATTAAACCGTTGTTCTAACGGGTGCTTCAAAGAGTGCTTAAAAATCACTCTTGAAATGATATCCCCAAAATGTGAAACCAAATATAAAGGGTTGCTACGCAACCCAAAAACTGGTTCGTGCCTCGTTGGCATAGAATTTCTTGCCTGCGCTACACATACCCAACCAAACCCAAGAAACCAACCGCACTGTCTACTCCCTTGCGATTCCCGTTTCTTGAATTCAACCACCTGCTCGACTCTCATCTCCCCTTTCCTTCCCACCCCAAATGCTGTACCTTCACAACCCGTCGCCATTTCCTTCCTATAGCGTTTTTAGAACCACCTTCCCGTCACCTCTCCCTCACTCCCCGCCGTCGCCTCTCCTCACCTCCCTCGTCTTTCCCTCCGTTCCCGCCGTCACGTTTGGTGGCTTGCTGCACGACCACGCGTTGTTTTCTTAGGCACGGTTGTGTCAGGTGCGTTTTTCCTTCTCTCTCCGAAATGTCCTATTTTTTCCACTTTCCTCGTAAGTTCTCAATGCCGATTGGTCTCCTCTTACCATTGTGCCTCCATTTTAAGAAGGGGAGAGAGGGTGTGTGAGGGAGTGTGTGCGCACGGGAGCGAGCACGCAGGCGCATAGCGCGCTGGCGCATAGCGCGCTAGCGCCTAACGGGCTGGCGCCAAACGTGCTGGCACCTAACGCGCTTGTGCCTAACGCGCTAGCGCCTAACGCGCTAGCGCCTAGCGCGCTGGCGCATAGCGCGCTGGCGCATAGCACGCTGGTTCCTAGCGCGCTGGCGCCTAGCGCGCTGGCGCCTAGCGCGCTGGCGCCAAACGCGCTGGCGCCTAGCGCGCTGGCGCCTAATCCGCAGGCGCCTAGAGCGCTGGCGCCTAACGCGCTAGCGCCTAGCGCGCTGGCGTTTGCTGCGTTGGCGCCAAACGCGCTGGCGCCTTACGCGCTGGCGCCTTATGTTTGGCGCCTTGCAGGTGCCCTCGCAGCTCGCTGGCACGTTGTTGCGTGCTGGCGGCTTGTGCGCTGCTGCCTTTTTTGCGGCGCTGGCAAATTCCTGCGGCAGCCTTGTTGCGGCAGTGCGCTGCGCTGTCAAATCGTTGCGCACGCTCACGCGTTGCTGCAGTGAGCTCACGCGTTGCTGCAGTGAGCTCACGCGTTGCTGCAGTGAGCTCACGCGTTGCTGCAGTGAGCTCACGCGTTGCTGCAGTGAGCTCACGCGTTGCTGCAGTGAGCTCACGCGTTGCTGCAGTGAGCTCACGCGTTGCTGCAGTGAGCTCACGCGTTGCTGCAGTGAGCTCACGCGTTGCTGCAGTGAGCTCACGCGTTGCTGCAGTGAGCTCACGCCTTGCTGCAGTGAGCTCACGCCTTGCTGCAGTGAGCTCACGCGTTGCTGCAGTGAGCTCACGCGTTGCTGCAGTGAGCTCACGCCTTGCTGCAGTCTAAGTTGGATTTTACGTTTACGGGGCCTTACGTTTTCGGGCGTTTACGACGATTTTTACGTTTACGAACGGTAGCCCTGAATCGGCCTTACGGTTCCGGTCAGCTGAAAACTTTTTTGGGCTGCCCGAGGGAAAAAAAACTACCAGAATACTCAAGAGATCCATGTCGTATCTATATGTCAATAGTGGAGGAAGGTAAATAATGGAAACTTGGAAAACATATAATATAATCCCCCTATCTCTCCCGCCGACCCGGTTGTCCTCCGCCCTACTGCTCCTAATCCACCCTCTCTCTCTAATCCCCTACTCATCTCATCCTTCCTCTTCCTCCTCCTCCTCCTCCTCCTCCTCCTCCCTCCTCCTCCTCCTCCTCCCCCCCCTCCTCCTCCGCGTCCTCCCTCCTCCTCCTTCCTCCTCCTCCTCTCCTCCTCCTCCTCATCCTCCTCCTCCTCCTCCTCCTCCTCCTCCTCCTCCTCCTCCTCCTCCTCCTCCTCCTCCTCCTCCCTCCTCCTCCTCCTCCTCCTCCTCCTCCTCCTCCTCCTCCTCCTCCCCCCCCTCCTCCTCCATCCTCCTCCTTTTTTTCCTCCTCCTTATCCGCCTCCTCTTCTTCCTCTTCATCTTCCATGCAAGCATCATCGGAGATGTCGTCATCGTCGAGCGGTCCATACGGATCTTGCTGCTGCTCCTCAATCTGAACGGATTCGTGGCCAGCCTTGAAGAACCGCTTCTCATGCTCCTCATGCACCTTACATACTGTGTTGTAATTGTGTGTCACGTAGACAAGGTCCTCGAGGCGCTTGGGTCCTAGGCGGTTTCGCCGCGCGGTGTGGATAGATTCCCAAACCCCCCAATTGGTTTCACACGCGGAAGCAGAAACACACTGCTTGAGAACCTTGCAAGCCAGTTTAGCAAGGTTGGGGCACTGCTGCTCCCCACTAAACTCCCACCAATGAGCGGGGTCCAACTTGCCCACCTTCACGAGCTCGAGATCTGCCCTTGCCTTCGGCTCACCAATGGCCCCTTCTCCTTTCACATAAATAAGAATCTCCCTCTCAACAATGGTCGCCATTGGAAACTTCGTGCCATCCTTATCCACCACATACTCCCCCTTATAGTAATCCCTTATGAACTGCTTGAAGATCCTAGTGCACTCAATGTCCCTGCCGAAGATCTTCTCGTATTGATTCGGTGGATACAAAATCCGACCCACCACATATAAGGCGCAGTTGATGTTCTTATTCCAGTGACGCCGCACGGCCCCCAAAATCCACTTGCTCTCCTTGCTCCTCAGGCAGCTGCAAGCCGTCTTCATGCTCTCCTCTAAATCCAGCATCATGTCATACATCTTCCCCATAACCTCCTGATTTCCATCAACCGCCCTCAAGAGCATGTAAATCGGCTTCAAGACACGTACCACCCTCTCCACCCCCTCCCAAAAAACATCATCCCTAATCACGCCGCGTGCCGCAACCATCCGCTTCTTCCCATGTGCCTGGGCAGCCCACCCTGTGGTTAGCACCATTTGGTCAAGTACAGGATGCACATCCAGCAAACGTTGCAGCGCTACATAGTTTGTTCCAAAGCGTGTGCCCGCGGGCTTAAGCAGCATGAGAGATTTTTTCTCACGGAAGTAGCCGGTGATCCAATGTGCCTTCTTCAAAACCGAAATCAGGTCTTGCACCTTGCCAATGATTTTGGCAGCCCATTTGCGCCCCCCAATGTCTTTCATCAGATTGTTGAGGATGTGAGCCGCGCAACGGATGTATTCCACCTTAGGAAATTCCGCCTTCACGATGTTGGCTGCGCTAATGTTGTTGCTTGCGCCATCCATTAGCAGCCCCACCACATTCTCTGCTCCAACCATGCCGATGGCTCTCTTGAGGTGTTCGGCAATGTACTCGCCGCTCTTCTTCTTTGTACCGCAATCAACGCCGAACAAGAAGACAGCTCCCTTCGTGTTCACTGCTAGGAAGTTCATCTGTGGGCGGCTAGAGATATCTGTCCATCCGTCAGTAGCAATGCTCACACCAATGTCGCTCCACGAGTCCTTAATCGGTTTCAACGCGTCGTCCGTGGGATCCTTGCAATCTTGCAAGAGCCGGCCCATGATCAGCTTCCGAGTAGGTGTTGGAAATCCAGGACCAGCTGCAGCCACTTTCCTTAACATAGACTTGAAAGCGGGGTGCTCCGCTACATTGGGGGCAATGCGGCAAACGTGGAAAAACGTTGCAACCGCCTCCTGCGCGCTTGCGAGATTTGCACCTGTAGGCCGACATTCGAGCAACGTTTTCTGATTTGCCGGGCGCTTGCTTGGTGTGCTAGAGCTAGCAACGATCCTGGTTGTCTCCTTGCTAAACGCGTCCATCGTGCGCTTCGAGGCGATCCGCTTAGCTTCCTGCTCACTAGACTTGGCTGATGCCGCTTTACGCACTTCAGCCTTAGCCTCTGCTGACACTTTCTTGCATGCTCTAATGTCCTTGCTATTACCTAGGATATGAGCCTGCGCACGAGTAACGTTAAGGGACCACGAATGATTGCAAAACTTGCATTGCCTTTCCGCCGAATCTGATGGAGCCCCATCTGGTAATCTAAAATGCTTCCAAACGGGGTGCTCGTTAAGATTAGCAGGTGAAGCCATAGGTTACGGAGATCGAGGAACTAGAGCTAAGTAGTCGCTGAATACGAAGTTCTGCTCTACTTACGGAATCTGGATCTGGATTCTGGATTCAGATCCAGTTTCGACAAAAGTGGGGTCACGTAATATTTCTGGCTTTGCTGATTCGCTAAGACCTAGGGTTGGTTGGATTCGCTGTTACATTTTTTTTCGTTTTCACCAAACAGCCGAACAGAATTGTGGCAGTCGCGAACCCTAGATTGGATTTCGCCAACATCCACACCTACAAATTTCGCCACGCACGTACGCCACTCACATAGCCGACGAATCTCCCTAGAGAATTTCGCAAAGCGCGCGTCCTAATTCCGAGCCCAACAAACCACCACTCACACCCTCCTCCCTAGCACAACGTCTTGACTCCCTTACAGCCTACAAAACTCTCTCGACCTAATCGATCTAAACCTAGTGGCTCGATATCTTCACATAGTAGTCTACCACCAAGACGTCACAGATTCAGATCGCGTTAGGGACTTTAAAGGCGCTGCGTTTCTACTTAGTTCGCTATTGCAGAAGGCTCGGATTAACTGTTCTTGCTTCTATCGTAAGCCATAATCGAGGATGAAAAAAAAACGGGCCGCGAAATTTTTTTTTTCCGCTGCCCGCGTCAGACTTACGCGTAACTTAACGTACGAAATCGAAATCGTAACATTTCGCGAAATTTACGTTTACGCTGCCTGGAAAACCGTAAGAGCCCAACTTAGGCTGCAGTGAGCTCACCCGTTGCTGCAGTGAGCTCACGCCTTGCTGCAGTGAGCTCACGCGTTGCTGCAGTGAGCTCACGCGTTGCTGCAGTGAGCTCACGCGTTGCTGCAGTGAGCTCACGCGTTGCTGCAGTGAGCTCACGCGTTGCTGCAGTGAGCTCACGCGTTGCTGCAGTGAGCTCACGCGTTGCTGCAGTGAGCTCACGCCTTGCTGCAGTGAGCTCACGCCTTGCTGCAGTGAGCTCACGCCTTGCTGCAGTGAGCTCACGCCTTGCTGCAATGAGCTCACGCGTTGCTGCAGTGAGCTCACGCCTTGCTGCAGTGAGCTCACGCGTTGCTACGGCAGCCCGCTTGCTCCTCTGCCGGTGCCTTGCTGCAACTCTCTAGCGCCTTGTAGCATGGCGATGCCCATCTCGTTGCACCAATGCACCTTTCTCGCTGGAGCCACCAGCATGGTGTGCTTGACCCAAGGGGATCTATGCCTCAAACCACGCTTGTGAGTCGTCAAATTCGGTTTCCTTTTGTACTTATCATATTTCAACCCATACTTGCTTTTCAAGTTCTATTTCACAATCAAGTGCATGCTCGTCACTGAAATTCACTCCGTTTTCCGACTACGATTCGTTTTCTACTTGACCTGTTTGTTTTGCAAGGTGTGCGAGACGCGTTGTGGGGAGCAGGGAGGGGAATCCGAGAGAGAAGACAATGTGGAAAAGGGTGGAAGGAGGTTTTGATGGCGGAGGGAGAGGAAGGCAGGCGGAAAGGGGGAGGAACTGGGGACAATGTAGTAGTGATTGATACATAATTAGCTTATTGCAACTCTTTGTTATGCTTGTCTGCTCCCAATCCTTTTTGTGTGTGTATGTGTGTGCTGTGCGGGTGTGTTTCTGCGAGAGTGTGTTCTTGTTTTCTCGTGTTTGTTTCACTGTGGGGTTGCATTTCTATGCGTTTGGTTAGATGGGTTGTACCTTTTTTTTGTTTTTACGTGCGTTTGCATTCTTGTTTGTGGGATGTGTGTTTCAAAGTGTGGTGTTAGTATGTGTCATGTATGCAATTAGAGGTTGTTAATCGTCTTTGGGGCAGCGTGTTTTCGCTGTTTCAACGACCCCATCAACCTCTGTTGTTACATGATGCATTTTAACAATCATTTTGAAGCATCCACTCCACCCACATTATGATAATTTTTGAAAGTGTAATGAAATGTAACACTTTCTAAAATTTTGTATTGTGAAAAGGGGTACGTGGCCAACACAGCAAAGGTAGCGCCGAAGCGCTACTCACCCTCTTTTGCCTACAAAAGAGGGACGTGGGGACATTCGTCCCCACCCACGTTTTCATTTTCAAAATTGTAGTTCTAATTTCGTTCTCGTCCACACTGGCGAAGACTCTATCGCTTCCGCGCTTCACTGCCCCGTCAACGCTTCTTAACGACATCCTTAAGCGCAACCTCGCAGCGATGGCTCCAGTCAACCCGGCACTTAATCGCGACAACTCGAATATTTCTAGCCCCGGTAACGCGGCGGAAACCTCGACTCCGGCCGGGACAACGGATCGTCGCGGCGGAAAACGTCCCGCCGAAGAAATTTCAAGCGAGGGACCCTCGGCGGTCGACCTCCTGCTCGGAGGCACCCTTCGGACCCCCCCTGAGGAACGCGCGACTGTTGTACAGTCGCGCGTGGCTGCTGCTGAAGAGCGCGTGCCTGGCAGGCACGCGCGTGCTGCGCAGAAGACGACGACCGCCGCTGACGCGGCGGCCGTCTTGACCGGCGCTGACGCGGGTCCATCCGGGCCCACGACCCAGAAACGCCAGCGCGCGGCACCCTCCGCTGACGTCACCCCGGTCAACGCACCCCCCCTTTTGACTGCGCAGCAGCTGCAGGCGCTGCTCTCGTTATTGCAGCAGCACGCTCCATCGACTGCAGCTACATCAACGGAAGAAATTTCCGCTTCCGCTAAAATCGAAAAGCAGAAGGAAAACGTCGCAGCCCCCCGCTCCACCAAAATCGCTCGCACCAACAACGCTGCTCCTGCTCCCGCCCCGGCTCCGGCACCAACCCAAGCCCGTATCAACAGGACTAGGCAAGAATGATGCATTGAAAGAAACAGTTGGGTACAAGTAGCTAACCCTAGTTGGGTTTGTACCCTGTATTGGCTACCCCACTACAGCCTACCCACATATAAATAACACATTACAACTTAACACACCCCCATAGGCAAAGTGGGGGAGAGCAAAGGGTCACAAGACCAGTCCAGCAAAGCAAAACAAGCCCAGGGTGGATCACAACGTCACCACACTCCGAGCACAAGCAAAGGCCACAAGGCCAGTTCACATGCAATGCTAGATATAGAACAGGACAAACAGCAAGACATATATAAAGTACAGTACAAAGAAAGTCAAGCAGTAAGCAAATGAGGAAACGTGGACACAAGGCCTAAAGAAGTACAGTGCCGCTGATGATCACTAGGCGGGAGCGCCTTGGTGAAGATATCAGCAGTGTTGGCCTTCGAGTCCACATACACAAGCCGAAGCTGACCGCGCTGCTGAAGCTCTCGAGCAAGAAAGTAACGAAGAGCAATGTGCTTCGTCCTGTGCTCCAGTCTGTGCTCCTGACACAAGGCAAGGGCCGCCTTGTTGTCACCGTACAGAACTGGAGGAGAACTAGGCCGCTCTCCCAAGTCAGTCAGCAGGTAGGTGAGCCAGCGTAACTCCTGTGCAGCCATGGCCGTGGCGTAGATCTCAGCCTCACAACTAGAGCCGAGAACAGAAGAAGAGCGGGTGGACCGCCACGAGACAGAACCTGAGCCAAGGCTGAAGGTGTAACCCTGTGACGACCGCTGCATAGCCAGGTCGTCCACCCAAGAAGCGTCCGAGTGACCAGTGAGGACAACTCTGTCGCGTCCTCCAAGTACCAGCCCCATGCCTGATGTGCTGCACAAGTAACGCAGCACCCTCTTAGCAGCCTCCCAGTGCTCTCGCCTGTGTCTCCCAGGCGCAACGTAACGAGCAAGGATGCTAAGAGGGTACGCGAGGTCAGGTCGCGTGCAAGTCATCAGGTACATGAGGCAGCCTACAAGCTCTGGGTACGGGCCACTCGGCTCTACGGACTCGTCCGAAGGTGGAGCTGAGAGCGAGTGGCTAATAGCCAGAGGTGTGGCCTGTGGTGAGGAGAACTGGAAGCCGAAGCGCTGAAGGACCTGCTGCACCATGTGTGATTGAGTCAGGGTAATGGTGCGGCGTGCTCTGTCCCGGGTGATCTGCAAGCCAAGGTAGCTACGCAGCTCACCCAGGTCAGTGCAGGTGTGCCTCTTCTGCAGCTCCGACTTCACACGAGCGAGTGCCTCAGTGTCAGCAGTAGCAAAGACCAAGTCGTCGACGTACACGAGAATGTAGAACGGCGGTAGCGACGTGTCTGTGCGCAGAAACAACGACGGGTCAGCAGTAGACGGCGCGAACCCAAGAGCTGCAAGTGTAGTCCTCAGTGTGTCGTGCCACTCACGTGGCGCCTAGCGGAGACCGTAGACTGGCCGGCGGAGGCTCCATTGGGTACCAGGAGGAAACGACCCAGTAAAGCCAGGTGGGCGGCGCAGCCAGATCTCCTCGTGCAGGCTGCCCTGCAGGAACGCTGTGCTGAAGTCAAGAGAGTGAAGCTCGTAGTCACGCTGAGCAGCAACGTGCAGCAGAACCCGAAGAGTGGTCATCTTCGGGGTGGGGGAGAAGGTCTGGAAGAAGTCAACCCCCTGACGCTGACTGAAGCCTCTAGCAACGTAACGAGCCTTGAAGACAGGTGGAGAACCTGGCGGCCGCTTCACCCTGAAAATCCACATGCCATCGACGATGTTCGCCCCAGGAGGGGGAACCTCGTCGACGTAGGTGCCTGTGGACTTCCAGGATGCCATCTCTGCGTCCATGACTGTCTGCCACTGAGAGGAGTAGGGACCCGAGATCGCCTCTGCGTAAGAGCGCGGAGTGGGGATGTCTAGTGCATCCGGGTCTCCCTCAGGGGCAAGCAACCAGGCCACGAGATGAGGTACAGCAGCTGCAAGAGAGTCAAAGTCCTCCTGCCTGTCCTCAAGGACGTCCGTGCCAAGAGCACACTCACCCCCGACGGACGGAGGACAGACAGACTCAGACCCAGCAACAAGACTGGCGGCGTAGTCTAGACGACAGGCAGCAGCAAAGTCGACAAGCTCAGCGACCAGGGCAGACGCAGCAGCAGACTCAAACGACGGGTCAGTGACAACAGTGGCGAGAAGACGCGTAACAGTAGGGTGGGCAGCACGAACACTGTCAGACTCAGGGTCGGGAACGTCAGGAAGAGAAGACGCAGGAGGAGACGGTAGGGGGACACGCTGTGGACCAGTGGAAGGACGAAGGGCCATAATATGCGTGCCAGGAACAGGAGGAGGACGCGGACGCGCGACACGACGACCAGTGGGACCAGTGCGCGCAGTGCGAGCAGCGCGAGCAGCGCGAACAGGCGAGGCAGGACGAGACGCAGGCTCGCGACGCTCCGTAAGCGAGTCCGGCTGCGCAGTGTAAGGCACAGGAGCAGGGAGGGGGGAGCCAGGCTGGAGGGGAAGGCCAGTGGAAGACGGGAGGGAAAGAACCTGGCGAAGCACCGTGTCAGGCGGCGGCAAAGCCGACGGCGACGGAGGAGCGAAGAACAGGCGAGACGGCAGAGCTCCGCCAGCACCTCCAGTACCCGCAGCACCAGAAGCACCAGGACCAGCACCCTCCGCCGCAGCACCCCCCGAGTCGGCGACGTCAGCACCAGAGGCCCCAGCAGCGTCAGACCTCCCCTCGCCAGCACCTCCAGAACCAGCAGGACCACCGTGTCCAGAACCGTCAGCTCCAGCGTCGTCAGCTCCAGCAGCTCCAGTACCGCCAGGAAGAGCACCCCCAGAGCCGGCAGCTCCAACTCCGCTAGCACCGCCAGCTCCAGAGTCCCCAGCTCCAGCAGCTCCAGTCGTAGTGCTCCCAGAACAACCAGTCCCGGCAGCTCCAGTACCCCCAGTACGAGCACCCCCAGGACGAGCAGCTCCAGCACCCCCAACTCCAGCAGAGCCACTAGGACGGCGAAAGCGCCGGACGTACCAGTCACGAAGCTGCTGCGGTGTGAGAGACTGCTCAGCACCCCGAACCGGAGCACCCCCAGACGCAGCAACCCGAGGCTCCGTAGGCTCAGTAGCAGCACCCCCAGGCTCAGTACCCGCAGGCGCAGCACCCCCAGGCTCAGCACCCCCAGACTCCGCACACGCAGGCTCAGCACCCCCAGTCGCAGCACCCCCAGGCTCAGCACCCCCAGGCGCCGAACTCTCAGGCACAGTACCCTCAGCTCCAGCACCCGCAGTCCCAGCACTCCCAGGCCCAGCACCTGCTGGCTCAGCACCCCCAGGCTCAGCACTCCCAGCAGCACCACCTGCAGCAGCACCTGAGTCACCTGTGACCTCGACAGGCTCAGCGACGGGAGGAGGGTCTACCTGAGAGACACCTGAAGGAGCAGGACCCTGAGGGGGAAGGGGGTCTACCGGAGGGGGACCAGGAGCAAGGAAAAGCGGCGGGGGAGGGAGGGGGGCAGTGCGGTAGGGGAAGAGACGGTAAAAAGGAACCGACTCGTCAAAGGTGACGTCCTGAGAGGCGAAGACCCGGCGCGAGGTGGGGTGGTAAAACTGCCAGCCAGGCGCGTCAGGGACAAAGCCAAGGAAGACACAGGGAAGCGTGCGGGAGGAGAGCTTGTCCGCAGACGTATCGCGGACAAGGGCACGAGCACCCCACACCCGGAAGCGCGACGCATCGCCAACCTCCCCCGTCCAACGCAGTGTGGGCGAGGTCTCCGGCAAGGAGACACGGGGCCAGAGGTTGAGCTGATGCGCGGCGTACCGGACAGCAAACGGCCACAGAAAATGGGGAGCTGCCGCGTGGACCAAGGAGGTACGAGCGACCTCCATGACCAGGCCAATGCGGCGCTCAGCAACCCCATTCTGCTGTGGGGAGTCCGGAAGCGTGAAGGTCTGCTCGATGCCCTCCGCCTGACAGAAGGTCCTCAAGAGGTCGGAGGAAAACTCACCACCTCTGTCAGAGTGCAGACGCAGGACAGGAAGATCCGTCCGGAAACGGCGGCGGAGCTGGAGACGAACTGTGCGGATCCAAGGGATCAGAACAGCAGGGACCTCACCCTTGGCGCGCAAGGGGAAGACCGTGGTGTAACGCGAGTAGTCGTCGACAACCAGCAAAAAGTACCGCTCACCGCCCTGACCACGAACGCGGGCTGGGCCCCACACGTCCAGGTGGAGGGTCTGCAGAGGAGCCTCTGTCGGGGGGAACGAGGAGGAGTGAGGAGCGGCGCGCTGCCGCCCCTCGACGCAAGGAAGGCAAGGCGGCGCAGGCGAGGCAGGGAGGGGAGGGAGGGACCTGGGAAGACCAGACACAAGGTGGCGACGGTGCATGCCACGAAGGCGTGGCAAGGAGGGGTGACCCAGGCGGTGGTGCCAGAGAAGAGTCTGGTGCGACAGGGAACGACACTCACAGGCGTGGGCTACCAGACCTGACGCAGACACCTGACCGACAGCAGCGACCTGAGGAGACGCAGTGGTCAGTGTGTAGAGACTCGACCCCGGCTGACGAGTGAACGTAGCCAGGTGACGGCCGGTCCTGGAGCACGTGAGGATCGCCACACGCTGTCCTCCAGGGGTAAAGGTGTCAACCCACTGATCCTGGATGACAGCGTTGCTCACCAGGTTCGTCGAGAACGAGGGGAGGTGGAAACCCGACAACGAGCCAGACGGAACCGCTGGACACGGGAGCACAGTGGTGGACCGTGCAAGGACTGGGCCCCCAGAGGGGTCAGCCAAGGAGACTGGGACCGGAAGCGGTGTGAGCTCAGTACGGTCACGAAAGAAACAGCGGGAAGCACCTGAGTCAAGGGTGAAGGTGTGACAGGCCTCAGCCGGTGCAGTACCTGAGAGAGCAGTCTCTGTGGGTGCTGTACCTGAGAGAGCAGACTCACAAGCAGCAGGGACAGTACCGGAGGGAGCAGCCACAGAGGGCACCAGACCAGAGAGAGCAGACTCACTAGTACCTAGGGCAGCGGGCTCTATACCTGGGTCAGGCGGCACACACAAGTAACAGTCTCCCTCGGCACTAACAGTCAATGCATACATGGCAGCAATAATAGCATCATAGTGATATCAACACCAGCCCTCATCAGCTCCGCCCAGCGGGGGCGCTCAACATCCTCGCCCATCTCCTCACGCCAAGCGTCGTCAAGGCGGGAGAAGCAGCGGTACGGGGTGTGGAACCTCCCACACGTCTGTCCCTTGCGGTCACCTGTGCGAATGACATAGGAACAGCGGACACTGCCCCCCGACGTCCCACGCTGAGCAAGCCACTCACGAAGCTGCTGGGTCGTCTGGGGACGCTGCTGCTGCTGGGAGCTCTGGCCCGAGCCAGTGCCTCCACTCCGACCTCCGCCGCCACCACTACCTCCGCTCCGACCGCCACCGCCGCCACCGCCACTGCCGCCACCGCCGCCGCCGCCACCACCGCCACTGCTCCCTTCGCCGCCCCCGCCTCCGGTGCCGACCCCACTCCCACCAGCACTCCCGCCACCGCTCCCTCCAGCACCGCCTCCCCCCCCACCTCCCCCACCTCCTCCCCCCCCAGCGCCACCCCCGCCACCCTTGCCCCCCTTGCCCTTGCCGGTGCGGCGCCTCCCACCAGGAGCAGAAGCAGCGCCAGCAGACTCAGCACCAAGGAAGTCAACAGCAGCAGCAGTAGCGTAGGAGGGAGCGAGGGGAGAGGGAGAACACCCCTCAAAGATGGGGGTGCGAGGAGCGCCACGAGCAGCACCGACAGCTACAATGCTCTTCTCGGCCGCTAGCAGCTGCTCCTCGAGGAGGGCGACTGTGAGCTCAGTGGGACAGCGAGCAAGGAAATGGTCTCAAACTGAGCTGAGGGTGTCAGGGAGACGGGTGACTATGAAGTGGAGTGTCCAGTACAGTGGAGGGGGGTTCTTAGCGCAGAACTCGGTGGGAAGGGCGGCACGCAGGCGAGCATCACTAGTGCGAAGGTGGGTGATAAGATCGGCGACTGTAGCAAAGGTGGACAGGTCAGGGAACAGGTAAGGCAGCATGAGACGGCTAAGCTCGGCTGTGGCAGGCGAGGAGTAGCGAGCAACGACAGCGTCGTACAGGGCCTTAGCGGATTTGCAGTCGCCAAAATGTTCGAGCTCAGCTAACGGCAGGTGACTGCGAATGGCTAGGCGAGCAGCTGCGTCACGAGTCTGCCAGTGGGAACGAACACTAAGCTCAGCTGTGGCAGGAGGGGCAGGCGCAGCACCAGACGCGTAATCATAGAGCGACACATGCTCCTTGCTATCGCTCAGGAGGAACAGCTGCAGGTCATCTAGCCAAGTGGTGAACTGCACAGGGCGGCCCTCAGCATCGAACGACAGCACGCGGATGGAAGCCATAGCGACAGCGCGACTGAGCAAAGGAAGCTGCCGCAGCGCTGCAGGTAGGTAGCTCGGTGGGGAGCGCGGCGGGCGGGCGACGCTGCGAGCGGGCAGCGCGGCGGGCGGGCTGCTTACAAAGCTGGCAGCGCGGTGGGCAGGCGGCGTTGCAAGCGGGCAGCGCGGCGGGCGGGCGACGCTGCGAGCGGGCAGCGCGGCGGGCGGGCGACGCTGCGAGCGGGCAGCGCGAGCGGGTAGCGCGGCGGATGGGCGGCGCTACTGGCGGGCAGCGCGGCGGGCAGCGCGGCGGGCGAGGGCGCTAACGAGGGGCGCTAACGAGGGCGCTAACGAGAGGCGCGCGAGGGCGCTAACGAGGGGCGCGCGAGGGCGCTAACGAGGGCGCGCGAGGGCGCTAACGAGGGCGCGCGAGGGCGCTAACGAGGGCGCACGAGGGCGCTACGAGGCTAGGGCACGGGGTAGCGTGGTAACCGCATGCGAGCGGTGGTGGGCCCTAAAAAACGGTCGGTAGGTCCTAGGGACCTCCTGCTCTGAATACCATGTCAACAGGACTAGGCAAGAATGATGCATTGAAAGAAACAGTTGGGTACAAGTAGCTAACCCTAGTTGGGTTTGTACCCTGTATTGGCTACCCCACTACAGCCTACCCACATATAAATAACACATTACAACTCAACACCAAGCCCGTATCCCCGACGACAGCGACGACTCGGAAAATGAAGACGGTGAGGCCCCCGACAACCTTGCTCGTCGTCGCATTCTCGCACCCGCACCTCCCCTTCCCCCCCTTAACCCTACACCCGCAGCTACTACCTTCATGCGCAAGGGAGTGCGTGACCAGGCGGAGGTGTTCTCCGCAATTCAAGCTCACCTGAGGCACGTCGAGTTCAAGCTCCAAAACGGCGACGTCGAGGGCGCGCTCTCCAACGTGGAGCAAATCGAAACGTTGATCAACAAACGCTTCGAGGTGCTCTTGGTGGCGGATGAGGCCGGTTTCGAAGCGGCGGATCGGTTCCAGCTGTACCAAGCCAAGAGCGTGCTCACGTCCCGCTCTTACAAGCTCGCGGTAGCCGACGTGGCGGCCCTCAAGCGTGCACGTACCGGCTTCGCCCGCGGAGGCCGCCTTCCCCCTCGAGACGGTGAACCGGAAAGCAAGGGCATGCCACCCGCGGGCTGCCACGAGCCCCGCTTCAAGGGGGTGTGTTTCCGTTGCGGCCAGCCCGGCCATATGGCAAACAATTGCCCTATGGGAGGGCGTGGCGCACAAGGTCCCACACCCGTGGTGTGAGAGGACCCATGGGGCGGCGCCCCTTGCCACTATGCCGGGGGGCGTAGGTGGATGCACCGGTGGTGCGTAGGCTGGTTAGGAGCCTTGGAACGTAGTATAGGCCATGGGGGCCAGGGCAAGATGGCAGCCGTAGGGGCTGGTTATTGTGTAGGCCTAGGCTTGTATGCCTTTGTGTGGATTAATAAAAGAATTTTGTTATTGGACCAAAAAAAAAAAAAAAAAAAAAAAACAATGGAGAGAGAGAAAGGGAGACAACATGAGGAGAGAAGACAAATGGCACAACCAATCAAAAATCCAGCCCCCTCTTGAGGAAGGCAGCCATGGAGGAAGGATTGGCCAGGGGTGAATGACAAAGCAAGGACCAAGAGAAAAACAAAGAAGAAGGGGAGAGAGAGAGAGAGAGAGAGAGAGAGAGAGAGAGAGAGAGAGAGAGAGAGAGAGAGAGAGAGAGAGAGAGAGAGAGAGAGAGAGAGAGAGAGACCGTCACGAAGACATCGTGATAAACAAGGTCGTGGGACCTAGTGACGCAAATGCGCCAATCTCGTTGCAAGGCAATCCAAAAAAAAAAAAAAAATGCAAGAGTGTCAAAGCTGAGGGTTGCTCAAGCGAAGTGTTGAAAAAAAACAAAACAAAACAAAACAACCCAAGGAGTGTGGGGAGGCGCGACGGCGGTAGAAGACAAGCGACATAGTTTGCCCCACAAAGCGTGCCGTATTATCTCGCGCCTAATCGACCTTGGTCCTGGTCCCCCCCCCCCACACAACCTCGGTTGCCCATTAATTGCAGAAGTGGAAGGCGAGTGGCGGAGTGCTCATTGGGACCCATACGAGGACGCAATAACGGACAACATGGTGTCCATCATGCGCATGCGATTGCGCAATAGCCTCCATTGGTGGCTGTCATGGTGCGACAGCAGTCTTATCCTTTCCATCATTGCCAGAGGGTACTGGCTACCATGGAAGGGCGCGGAGCCTCTCCCCTTCGAAGCGCCCAATCACGCAGGCGTCCAAGCACACATGGCATTCACCCAAGACGCGGTCAGCGACCTCATCGCGTCAGGCGCCGCGATGCATGTCTCGTCGAAAGCCGCACTTACGTGCATCAGCCCGCTCAATGTTGTGGAGCAACGAGACAAATGTCGGCTCATCCTTGACCTGCGGAAGGTCAACGCTCACCTCCAAGTTCCCAAGTTCAAGTACGAAGGCTTGAGTCGGGTCGCGGAAATCATTCGCCCAAACGACTGGATGTTCACAATCGATCTCAAGTCAGGCTACCACCACGTCGAAATCCACCCATCGTGCTGGAAGTTTTTGGGCTTTCAATTGGGCGGAAATTTCTATTGCTTCACATCCTTACCTTTCGGCCTGGCAACAGCCCCGTTCGTCTTCACCCAGCTTATTAAGCAACTAGCCAAGAGATGGCGCGCGCGCGGAGTGCGCGTAATACCATACGTGGACGATCTACTATTCCTCTGCGACTCCGAGGCGCTAGCCCGTTCGACGTGCATCGAAGTTCTCTACGACCTGAAGGCGGCAGGATTCGTGATAAATTCTAAGAAATCACACCTGCATCCCGCACACCACTTGCGCTTTTTGGGGATGGAGCTTGACACGGAACGAGGGATGTTCATTGTCGGAAAGGATCGGCGCGAACAACTACTGCAGGAGCTCCACCTACTTATAAAAAAAGGGCAATCGGGTCGCCAAGTGCCGATTCGCAAGATAGCCCGGATCACTGGATTTCTCAGCTCCATGTCGCTCGCGCTGGGCACGACGGCGCGTGCCTTCAGCCATGAGCTTCTGCACTTGATCGACTCCGCATGGTCATGGAACTCAAAGGTTTTATTGTCACCAGGAGCGACCGAGGAGCTGCTGTTTTGGACAATGCACTTCGATCGTTTCAATGGCGCCCCATTCCACCAGAGTCAGCGTTTTGATGCCGTGATACACGTCGACGCAAGCGCACACAGCTGGGGTGCCACTCTGGCCAAGTTCCCAAGTACATCATGCGAGGCAAGCGAGTGCATGCCACAAGGGCTTCTCCCCACATCTAGTACGCGGCGAGAGCTCGAGGGAGTGCTCTGGGCACTGCGGACGTTCGCAACCCAAATCGTGGGTGCTCACGTCCTCGTCCGGGTAGACAACCAGGCAGTCATGTTTATCTTGCGCAAAGGGGGATCCCGTCAGGCGGATCTTACGTTGACATGCCAAGCGATCATCCAGTTCTGCCTCGGCAACACAACACGCCTCGCGATCGAATGGATTCCGAGAGAGCTCAACGCCCATGCGGATGACCTATCCAAGATGCAAGATTTTGACGACTACTCCCTACACGCACCTTGGTTTCGCCTCTTGGAACGACGCTGGGGGCCTCACACAATTGATCTCTTTGCTAACGTTCGGAACAATCACGTTCAGCGCTTCTGCTCTAAGATACCGCACCCCGACGCGTTCGCCGTCGACGCATTTTCCATCTCGTGGACAGGCGAGCGATGCTTTGCCTTCCCGCCTCCACACTTAATTCCCGCTACACTCCGCCATGCGGAACTGACGCAGACAGAACTCACGCTCGTCGTTCCACAGTGGACCGGAGCGTCATGGTGGCCGCTTCTCCAGCCGTCCACTCAATCGTGGGCTCCGGCAGTAGTAGAGCACCTTTCCCTTGCCCAAGGCAGCCAATGCCTTCGGGCAGGTTCACACACAGCTGCATTCTCTGGTCTCGGATTGCCCCATAGCCCAATCATTGCTTTGCGTGTAAACTATGCGGTCTAATAACAATTTCTCAATGTGTCATTTCAGGACTTTTGGCCAAACTAAAGCAACAATTGATGCACGTAATTAGCCACGTTCGCGCACCATCTACAATCGAGACGTACCAACCTTATTGGCAGAGATTTCGCACCTTCTGTACCCAAGTTAAGCTCGAGTTCCTACCGGCAACCGACCTGACGCTAGCGCTGTATCTCATCCATGCGCTCAACAACAAAGCAACTCTCTCTGCGATCAACCTCACGTGTTCGGCAGTAGCCTTCGCCCACCGCATGACAGGCGAAACCTCCCCTACCGCTGGCCCACTCACCCTGCAAGTGCGGGAGTTCGCCAAGAGACATGGCCCTCGGCCTACAAGGACCAAAGAGCCGATCTCTCTCCATCAAGTGCACGACATGGCTCGTCCCTTCCTCGAATCACCAATTCCTGCGGAATACCAGAAAGGATTGATTCCTCTTCTCATGTTTTCTGCATTCTTGCGCTACTCCGACCTCGTCTCGCTCCAATGGAATGATGTACAGTTCGAGGAGAAGGCAATGTGGCTGCTCATCCCGCACTCCAAGACGGACCAGGAGGGGAGGGGAGTCTGGATCCCAGTGGCAGCAATTCCAGGCCCATACTGCCCGGTGAGGTGCACGCGCACATTTATACACATCGCAGGCCTCACAAAGGTGCCACATGGACCGCTGATAAGGGTTTTCCCGAAGAACTCGCAAGCCACACCGAACGACAAATCACCATCCTACGTTACGATCAGAAACTGGTGCCTCGCGGCCGGCAGGCAAGCTGGACTGGATGTCGCGCACATCGGAACCCACTCATTCCGCAAAGGCGCAGCCACGGCGGCGGCAAGCCTCGGAGTTCCTGACCGGCTCTTCAAACGCATGGGCCGATGGCGCAGCGACAGCGCGAAGGAGATGTACGTTACAATCGCGCAGGATCAGCTC